AATTTCATGTCATTCCCAGTCAAAGAGATATTGAATTTACGTATGGATTCAGAGCTTGTTTGGTAGATATTTTGATAATTGTTTTTTGACCGTTAGAGATAAAGTGGATCCTACCTGTGAGAGAAGAATTCAAAAATGACGACTGAAATAGTGAAATAACGGTCAACAAATTGATTTTAATTGACTTTTAATCCGTAACAAACAGTCACTCAATTTTACACCCCTTTCCAATAAGTTGCAACACTTCAAAGGAGTTTTTAAGTTTGAAATGTCACTTAAAAAAATTCGAAAGGGTACAAGAAAAGCGCCATTTAGATCTAATGACCACCTAACATGGCGCGACACCACCAAATGCACTTTGTGGCCAACTTTTTCGATTTCGTTCCTTTTTCGCAAATTCTATATTTTTCTATTTTTGATTTGCGTGTAATATCTCTCTTTAACTCATAGTTAATATTCAAATGACACTCGAAGAACAAGAAAATTTAATCCAAAATTCAATGTCTCACTTCAAAAATTTCAATAGGGTGATGTCTTTCTTGATTTTTATTGTTGTGATATTCTTCACATCATGTTAGGTTAGAAAAATTTATACTGGGAGATCGATGAATTTTGTAATGTGATATTTATTCTTTGTTCCGTATTTTGATATTAAAACACGTATTGATTGTTTTAAATGATTTATATGCATTTAATTGTTTCCATGATTATGGGCCTGTAATTGTGTGAGTTTTGGTGGTTTGTTTCATCTATTCGAAAGAAGAGGAACAAATTCAACAAGGTATAAATTATCGTAGGATCCAATAGGGGATAGAAATATACCCCTATGCCTTGCTTGAATCTCTAAGTACTCACAAAATTACATGCATTCTCGTATATTTGTATCCGTCATAGAGATATAGACTGAGTGTCTGGAGGAATTCTGTATTGAGAAATTTTGTACAAAGAGCATTTTTAGGAATATATTGTGTGGCTCCTAAGTCCTAACCACTAGGACATTCAACAATGTTGATAGTCTTTTCTAATAAATCTGTATATATGCCTAAATCATTTATGGTTCTCTAAATATTTTGAAATAATTATGGTCCAATATTTTAGTTCATTTTATAGACGTATTTTGTATTGAAAGATTAAGATAAATTGAATGCTTAAAAATTTATAATTTTAAAATAGATAAATAATTAGTGACAAATAACTTAAAATCTTTAATTTTATCTCAAAGAAAACATTTTATACTTTTGTTTTATTTTATACTTTTTAAGTAATGATCGATCGGTCTGACCGCTAACCCAAGACCCGATACCACAATCAAGTTGATGCTTGGGACATGTTTAATAACTATGATTTTAAGGATCTACTCTTTAAAATAAAGAGTTGTTGGAAAAAATAATTAGTTGCAATAGTGATCAGAACAATATAATGCAAAAATATAAAACTTATCATTCGATCGAGTCTCGTGACAGCACGATGTCCTAAAGTGAAATTGCCCGTTAATAATTGCTGCGACCTCCGTGGACAATCACTCCCAGGATTCAACGATCGTAAATCACTTATACAGCAATCACGAATGATTTTTCTACAACTCTCAATTGTACTCCAGAATAAATGTAAAAACCCGAATATAAGAAATTCAGAATATGAAAGTATGATTGATGCAAGATAATTTTTCTATTTTCTTTTTGTGTGTATTTTTCCCAAAACGAGATATGTGTTTATATATGCAAGATGGAAATAACAGTCTTCACCATGTTAATGCAGAATTTTAATGACTGAGTAGTGAGTATTTTAATGGCTGTTAATGGGTTGTTACAAAAACAACCAGTCAAAAAATACTGGCTAATTTTACCCATTAAATAATAAAGAAAAAATCATTTATTTTAGTCAAAGAAGATTAAGAGCCCAAGACCCCAATAAAGACATTTTAATATCTGCGTGGAGAGTGACTCAAACCCCTGACGTCCCACACAAATGTCACATTTCCCACCACTTTGACACTTTATTTAATTTGATTATTTCTTTCACATTTTATATTTATACCATAAATATATAACATATCTTATATTTAAAAAATCTTTTAGGGATGCTCTATGGAATATGGATGATAAAAACAAATTTGAGAATTCCTTTCTACATTTCCAAATGTACAGAATACAATTAAACAAAATTTGATGAAAATATACACGAAAAAGTTTAAGGAAAAAGATAAAGGCAATATCAATTTCATGTCATTCCCAGTCAAAGAGATATTGAATTTACGTATGGATTCAGAGCTTGTTTGGTAGATATTTTGATAATTGTTTTTTGACCGTTAGAGATAAAGTGGATCCTACCTGTGAGAGAAGAATTCAAAAATGACGACTGAAATAGTGAAATAACGGTCAACAAATTGATTTTAATTGACTTTTAATCCGTAACAAACAGTCACTCAATTTTACACCCCTTTCCAATAAGTTGCAACACTTCAAAGGAGTTTTTAAGTTTGAAATGTCACTTAAAAAAATTCGAAAGGGTACGAGAAAAGCGCCATTTAGATCTAATGACCACCTAACATGGCGCGACACCACCAAATGCACTTCGTGGCCAACTTTTTCGATTTCGTTCCTTTTTCGCAAATTCTATATTTTTCTATTTTTGATTTGCGTGTAATATCTCTCTTTAACTCATAGTTAATATTCAAATGACACTCGTTTGAAATTTCCTTAATACGAAATAACATCACAAGGAATAAACCCAAAGTCTCACATCCTTCAGAGAAATCAAACTGGATTCAAGTTTTTCAAGATTTTGGTAGATTTTTTGTTAAGTTAAATTGTATCAAAAAGTGATATATATCATATTTTCTTTACTTATTTTTTATATCGAATTCTGATCACCGTTGCATTTCATACATTTATGCTCTCAAATCTATTTTTGAAGGGTGTGGGGTTAAAAATTCAAATGTTTATTGAACTTCGCACAAATGTTTCATTAATCATTAAACTTTTAACAAATTTTTTTGATGATCATTGTTGACCCCAAAAAATTTTGCCAATAGATGCCGAACCCACTCGCACACGCGTGAGTGAAGGTCCTACACGCTAAGACACGTGGACGGTCTAGGACGAAAGAATCGGGGGCGTGGGAGTAGCTCAACGACGCGGGACGAGAACGTTTGGAATCCGACGGGATGTTCGTAATCCGATTGTACAATAATTATCAATCGGTACTCATGAATGTGAATGTAAATATGTATGAACTCGTATTATGTTGTAAAGCAATATGAAAGAGAGAGTAAAGTGTGGTTTCTTGTATTGATTCTTGCATTAGTCCTTCAATGTTACACAAGGGAAGTATTTATAGTGGTACATGTGAAATGACAGCCATTGAACGAGGTGGCACGTGATCTCATCTCTTTAATTCAAACATCCAATTCTACGTATCATCCTTGACTTGCTAGCTTACTGCGCATTTATTGCTTATGCAGAACCCCCATGCTAATGACAAGACTTGACATGTACACTTATGACAAACGTTCCATCAATCATTCTAACAAGATCTTTACGTAGAAGATCGCTTGGGAGAAGTGATCATGGAAAACGTTCCTTCACGGTTCGGAGGCTTCTGCTTTGGCTTCGGATTCGGGGCTTCTGCCACTCATGTAGTACTTCTGCTTTAGAACTTCGGCTATCTTCACAGGCCTCGGCATATGGGCCTCAGCATGAAGGGCCTCGGCCATACAAACCACCTCAGTTAGAGCGCCACGTGGATCAGATTGAATGGGCCATAGGCCCAAGTAGGTTGGCCAAGTATGATAACACGTAACAATAGTCTCCCAAGTCCAAGTATAGTCATTTATGTAATGCGTGGACTTCAATGAAGTAAAGCCAGTGGGTTGGGTAAAAATTGAAAGAATTTTTGAACCATAAATAATAGTCCCCCGAGTCCAAGTAAAGATATTTATATCATGGTTAGAGTGAGAAATGTGTTGTTGCGGGTGAATGATGAAGAAGTCGAGGTGGTGGCATTAACTGAATGTGCGAGGCTTGCGAGACCTGGAAGATGGAGATGAGCCGAGGTAGTTGGAAAACCAAACCTACGAGGCTTGATGGCTGAATGTTGAAGATGAAGCCAAGGTGGTTGGAAAATCGAACCTGCGAGGCTTGATGGCTAAATGTTGAAGATGAAGCCAAGGTGGTTGGAAAATCGATCCTGCGAGGCTTGATGACTGAATGTTGAAGATGAAGCCGAGGTGGTTGGAAAACCGATCCTGCGAGGCTTGATGGTTGAATGTTAAAGATGAAGCCAAGGTTCATTGATAATAATTGTTCCTTGGCAGTTATGCCAATGATTTGATGTTTTGCGCATATTTTCGAGGAAAGGTGGTGAATCGTTGCAACTTTCAAAGCGCCTGCTGCCGTCGAATTAAAATCGTAATTATTAGAACAACTGGAGCTTCTAGAAGCAGACGTGTTGGCTGAGGTGCGTGGGAGACACGCTTAAATCTGAGGCGTATGTTTGAAATACCGTTTGAATTCTATGCCTCGGATTTGATTTAAAATGAAGGGTTCAGATTGAATGAGCTTCGATCTGACGGTGGGGGTTCGTTCTAGCCCTTTATAAAAGGCGAGAGAACTCCCTTTTTTCTGGATTTTCTGGCACTCGCAATCTGATTTTCTCTCTTAGAACTTAAACATTCTGGCATTTGGCTATCCGTTCACTGCTTTTTCCGGCACTTTCTGGTCGCGTAGTATTTCAGTAGGTATTTTTCACAGAAAATACTCCTTTTATTGCATTCTTAGTTGCTTTCTGAGATGGAGTCGACTTCGGGTAGGGAGTTGGTCAATGTCGCGTCGTTTAGTTGGGGGTCTAGTTACAGGGGGGACTCCAAAGTTGAGCAGATTGCTATGACCAAGGAGGAAGTAGAAGTTACAGGGGGGACTCCAAAGTTGAGCAGATTGCTATGACCAAGGAGGAAGTAGAGGGGGGGGGGGGGGGGGGGGGCGTCTAGAGTTCCTTCGAATATGACGTCGAAGATGTTGGGGGAGATAAGGGAGAGGTACTGTGTACCTCATTATGTGGAGATGTTGGTGCCCACGGCCCATGAGCGAGCCTGTTATCCGAGGCCTGGGTGTGTGGCGGTGAGCGAATACTTGTTTAAGGCCGGTATGCGTCTTCCTCTGCACCCCTTCTTCAGGGTTGTGCTGAGGAATTTCACGTTGTCGTAGACACAGGTTCTACCAAATGGGTGGAGCCAGTTGGTCGGCTCGTAATTCCTATGGAAGGAAGTGTCGCTTGGGGAGAACATGCCTCTCCACGTTTTCATGATCCTATTCCAGCTTAGGGTAATAGGTAAGGGGTCGAAGGGGTGGTATTACTTGACTCCCTGGGGGCCCATGCACCTTTTGTGGTGGTGCTGCCTTCTTCCATAAAGGGGTGGAAAGAGTCGTGGTTCTGGGTAAGGGGCAGGTGACAGGCGGTGGAGGGAGACAAAGCCCTGTCTTGCACAGTACCGACCCAGTACTACGAAGCTCATGAGTCTCCCAGCCTAAGTAGTCTGCATTCCGTTTTCAACTTTAATTTTTTCTCTAATTGTTGAGGCCTCATTTGTAGATAGCAGTACGAGGTTCGAGCTGAGCAGTGAGGAGTTTGAAGTGATAGAGGACATTTACAAGAGACCTCTGAAGCTTCGCCACTTCAATCGCGTCATCGACAGAAGTCGCTATTTCCTCAACTTTGAACCGATGGCCTCCAGGGGTATGAAGCTCCCACACTTGTATATTTTTGTGTTTTCGTTTTGGTACTGAGCGTTGTGTTCTGCAGATAAGTTTAAGAGGAAGGAGTACCCAGCTCCTGACATGGATTCCATACTGAGGGCAACTTCCACTATGATGGCGAGGCCCCTGAAGCCGAGGTCAAGTGGCGCCAAGGAGGTCCGAGGCAGATTTGAACGTCTCTCCAAGGACAGCACCTCGCGTGCTTCCGAAGAGGGGACCCCCCAGAGGTCAGAAAAGCCCAAGGAGCCTCGGGGGAAGGAGAAAGTCCTTGAGGAGCCAAAGAAAAGGAAGCTAGTGCATGTTTCAAGCTCGTCTAGCAAGTTTGGGACTTCTATGTCCCATGAAGGCAAAGAAGCCAGGCAGCCAACGCTACTGGAAGTCGCCTCGAAAGCGGTTAAGATTGAAATGGTAAAGCGCACCGAGACTGAAGAGGCGAGGGAGGAGGCTGCAAGGAGAGAAGCTGAGGTGGCCGAGGAGGAGGCTGCTAGACAAAGGCTTGCTTGAGTGCAAGGGAAGTCTCCGAGCTTCCTTACCGGAAGGGAGGAGCCTTTGGCCCCATGTTCACGAAATATTTTCTTTCGATTTAAATTACCGCAAGTGTACGGTTCGTTAACAAGTAGTAAAGTGGACTATGAGTCCAAGTATCGTTCCCACGAGAATTAAATTAGCTCTAATTAAACTAATGTGACCTTAACCGAATCTAATTGAATGAAAATTTGGTTTAAATATGAAAACCCTAATTTTGGGAGAAATCCCCAATTCGAAACCCTAATTGCAAAGAAAACCCTAATTTCAAAATTGGAAACCCTAATTTCAAAATTGCACTAATCTAATGAAATAAATCTGCAACTGAAATGTAAAAATGCAATTTTAGATTTATTGTATTGAAATGAATTGAAATGAAATCATTAAGAACTTGAATCCCCAATTGACTATTAAAAACCCTAATTTCACAAATTCAACGAATCGATGAACAAAATGCCAATTCAATGTTCCTAAATTATCCAATACACTCTCTCGATATATATTGAATCTACTCTTACACACCACCAGCCTATATTTCTATGGATGATGCAATGTATAAGAATGCATGATTTTTTATGAACAATTTCATAAATTGCATAAAGCATAGAGGTAAGTTTCCATCCCCTATCGGACCCTATGTCGATTTATATTCTATCGAATTTATTCCCCTTCTTTCGAAAGCAAAGAATAAATCATCTACAATCACATAATAATTGGCCAAATAATTATGGAAACATTCAAATCATAAAATCAAGCATTTGTCCAATCGAAATTAATATTGAATTTATGAAATAACGAGAATTTAAATCATCAAAAGGTTCATCAAATTCCTAATGAACAAAAACCCTAGCCTATAATCATCATTGCAAAATCAAGAAATTGAAAAACGAAATTAAAAGATAATAAGAATACACCCGTATGGAATTTCTTCAATCCGTGTGTATAATCTTCAATCCGTTTCGAGCCCGTGTGAAATTGAATCCAAAATCAAGTTTCTTGCCTCCAATTTTGGTCTCTTCCTTCTCCCTGGTCGTTCTCTTTCTTCATATGATGAATTTTGGTATATATATCGCGTCCAAATTAAGTAGGAAAGGAGTTTCAACCAGCACGAAAAACTGCGCCCGAGAGTTGAAAATTACTCTATGCGACCGCATAGAAGGAATCTATGCGGTCGCATAGATCAAAAAGTTTGGGCTCATTGAGTCCCTGGAGCCCTCTATGCGACCGCATAGAAGGTTACACTATGCGGTCGCATAGAGGTAACCATCTATGTGGTTTGTTCAATTTGGTCCCTGAACTTCTTTGTTGCTTCTCTTGACTTCTTTCTTCGATTTCTTCATCTTTTCAACAAATTTTATCTTCCAATTGATGATTGATACCATCAATTCTTATGCCCCTCATTCGGCATATCTTTTGAGTATTTGCGCTTTAGTCCTCCAACTTTCAATTGTCTTCATTTCAGTCCCTCTTCAATATTTTCTTCTTCCATTTGTTTTGCTTTGTCATTGAGCTCATACTTGGCATGTCTTCCCTCTCGTTTTGCATTTAGCTCAACTTTTCAATATTTGCACCTTTGGTCCTCGAACTATCAAATTGTTGCTTTTTGGTCCTTCTTCGGCTCTTTTCTCCTGAATTTCACAATTTCCATTGAATTACCTACAATGCATAAATTTAACTGGATTAAGTCACAATTCAACCATTTTATCCATGTTTAAGTCATGTTTATGATCCAAATAAGTGTGTAAAAACACACTTATCAAATCCCCCAAACTTAAACTATTGTTTGTCCTCAAACAATGCAGTGACTCAGAGTTAAACTAACATGGCTTAATAGTTTGCCGTGTCTCAGGATTGGAACTCAGCAATACACTAGAACAATATCAATATTGCAAGAATAAAATTAACCTTTACTCGTCAATTGCAATACTCAACGTGTGTGTGTGAACTCATGCCAACTTATCAAGCTTATGAATGGTTTGTTCCCGACCCATAATGGTCAAATTTATCCTTACATCACTCGAGAGATACACAACTCCCCCAAACTTATTCTTTTCACTCAGTTATCTTGGGGTATTTTCTAAGGTTAGGAGTTTAACAACTATAATCCTTACTCTCTCTTAGTTTGGATAGATCTCACCCTTACTAGTACACATATCAACAAGTAGAGACTCTCTTTAATTTGATTGTTTCAACCCTTAAGCTCAAACTAAGCTACTTACCTCGTGTCAAGGTTAAAGTCATATCAATCAAATGTCCAACAAGGGGTTATTCTTATTATCATTATTTTTGAAATTTTTTTTTTGTTTTTTTTTATTCTATCTTCTCATTTGCTTTCTATATAACCCCTGTAGCGGGTTTTTAGGCGATGACTCCCAAACCAGTTGGTCTTAGGGCACCAGGTTTTAAACCCTTGCAGCCTTATTCACCCGAGTTATAAAGGCTCGATAAGATGAATTTTGTCAACTTCTCCTTTATCTTGCTTTCTATATGACCCCTGTAACGAGCTTTAGGCCGATAATTCCCAAACCAGTTGGCTTTAGGATATCAGGTTTTAAACCCTAACAGACTTACTTGCTCGAGTCATAAAGGCTTTTGAGAGAAGTGATACTTTTCCCATGTTTATTTTATAGACATTTGATATCAACAACCATCCTCAATTTAAAGCTTTCACCTATTTCTCACCTTCTGGGTCTAGGCAATCCACACAATATAAATTCATGCACTGAGCCTCTACTTATCTCCATGTTTACCTATAGTGGCTTAACCATCTCCAAACTATCTTATGGTGATTTAACGAGTTAATGATATAGAGGGTTAACCTAGGTTTCTCATGTTTACTCCAACAATCCCATTCAATAACTTAACATGAAAACATGAGTGGCGTGCAAAAGAATGTCAAGCATTGCATCAATAAGTATCCGTTAATTAAATCCTGTACTATATTAACAGTTCTATGTTTCACCTGTCCAATAATCACATCATAGCCGGCAAGGCTACCAAACCCACACAAGCATGCAAAAGTAAAATCAACACTCATTCATCATGCAGCATCATGCAAGAAGGTAGTCAATTTAATGATTGATTGTGAAAATGCATATTAACTACATGCCGAATATTTGTTTGAAAATTATGCTACCATC